TTTTTCCCTGTTCTTTTATTTGGAATATATTGCTTTGTCTTTTCATTTTGTTTTACTCTCTATGTTTGTTTCTATGTATTAGATGAAACAACTATCTCTTTCAATCTTGAAAACATGGACTTGAGTAGGAACAACCTTTTAGTAGACTGTGTGTTGGGTGGTATTTGTCAGGCCAGCTGGAGCATAAGTGGGTGTATGTGGCTCCTGGGGAACTATGGTGGACCAGCAGGCTAGGGCTTCAACAAGCATTGGCCAAGATAGCCAGGGCATGCTGTGGAGGACTTGCAGGGTAGCTAAAGTGCTTCGACCACAGGGGAGTCTATCTGCAAGGGCCCCTCAGTAATATTTCTCCCTACTACAATCATGAGTGAGCTTTCCATGATTACCATACTTCCATCTCTCCTACCCTTCTCTGTGCGGTTTCTCTCTCATTTATTGTGCAGAAGCTGTTCAGTCAGTCCTCAGTTCCTCAGAAGAAATAGTTTTATATGTAGGTTATCTGTTGTGTTCATGGGAGGAGGTTAGTTTAGGGTCTTCTTACACCTTAAGTTCGGAGCCATCTTCACCTTAATCCATTATACTTTTAATAAAATTAAACATGATTGTAAATTTATACCCCTAGTTCAAGTAAACCTGAAAAACATTACCATAAACTTGCTGACTCAAGTCTGTCCTAGCAAAGACAATGTTTTTTAAAAACACCTGAGGCACTGTGCTGCTGAATTATATAGTCCTATCATTAAATTTCAAATTTATCATTTCCTTCATTTTATTAAACAAACTTTTGGAAATCACCAAGAACCTTTATAATTATTTCTAATTATAATTTTTACAGATTTAACTTGAACAAAAGATAATGATTTAATACTAATTCTTTCATTTCTCTTTATGGGCTTTGATTCTGTTTAGTTTCAAAAAGAGTAAATAATATTTACCCCCTTCCTGGCTGTTATATGAAGACTACAAAGAAAAAAGTTATTTGTTTTATTCTTAGAAAAGTCACAAGCAGCAGTTGCCTGTAGAGGGAGGAAGTGAAATCCATATGCAATGCCTCTGTCAGCAAAGACTTTGTAGAAGAGGGTTTATAATAAATATTCACATCTGCTGCTTTGGACACTTTAATCCATCCTAAGGATCTTTGCTGTGTCAGGCTTTGTTCTAGATGAAGAAGCCCAGTAGTTATAAAGGTTTGCAAATAAGCTATATTTATCATGGTTAGCTTCCTTTTTATAACTTTTCTCTGTTTTAGAGATATCCAGGACAATTTTCAGTATAATTTGTGATTAAATATTTCACTGTTACTCTTATGGTGATATCTTATAGAATTTTCATGATGGAATAGACAACTTCTATTTTCACACTATATCACCTGCTTAAAATGTGTCAAGAAAGCATCATTGATAACAATGCTACCTGGATGTGGAAAACATAATTCCAAGTGCTCGTTATTAAATGCTAGTTCCCTCCATACATAGGGTTTCATCCTAAGCAAGTTTCTTAGTTTTTCCAAAACTCTCTTTTTTCACCTGTATAATGGAGTTACTATTGGATTTTTATTATTAGATTGTTATAGGGATTATATGAAATTATCCATGTCATGTAATTAAATCTAGTATCTAGCATATTGAGTTTCATGAATTTTAAATATTGTGGCTAAAATGATACTATATGCCTTTTAAGTTTTATTAGATATTACCATCAATAGTATTAATATTATATTTATTTACCCCACATACTGAACTTACGTAAGCATAATCTATTGCTTTTACTTACCTCCAAATTTTCTGATAGTTTGCTACTGAACTTTTAAAGATAAAAGTATTAATTAGAATTGGAATGCTGATATGTTTTGCCCTGTAACAGAAATATTCGCTCAAAAATATATGGTATGAAAATAATGAGTATACTTTGTGTTGCATTTAGTTCTCTTATGTAACAAAAACTTTAACAAAATTTTGAATTTTAAATTAGAGTAAAATAACCAGAGTCATTTTGAAATGGAGGCATTTTCACTTCACTTCCAAAGAAATTTGTTCAGTGTAACAGTTTTTAAAGCATAAATGTATTATTATAGTCTTAAGTAACAATTTAGTATAACTATAATAAAAAAGTTTAAGTATAATACAAATTTTTAAACATAAATAAATTATACACTATATTTGTGCTTATCTTTCCCATGGGTACATTTGAAGCCTATGTTTTTTTAACAATTTTTCACAAATAACTCACTTAAAAAGGAAAGCTGTGTTGCTTAGTGCTTTCAGACTCATGTCCTCAAAATTATTTATTAATCCCAAATTTAAGGAAACTATCAGAGCATTTGATGACCTCTGCATATAAAGTAGGTAAAACATTAGGTTTTACTTTCTCATTTTAAATTTTTATAGTTTAATCATCCATATGTCTTAATTTTGACCAGAATTATTTTCTATACACACAGGAGTTAGTTAATATTCAATGACTGATATCTAGCATAAAATGAGTCTGTTGAAAAAAAATTATATGTTGATCTCACTAATATGTGGAATCTAATGAACAAAATAAACAAACAAAATGGAACCAGAAGCATGGACACATGGGACAGACTGGCCGGTGCCCACGGGGAGGGGGTTGGGGGGTGTCTGGATAAAGAAGGTGAAGGGATCACCTAAAGAACATATGTGCATACTCCGTGGACGCAGACAGTAGTGTGGTGAAGGCCAAGGGAGGGGGAGGAGAGGGTCGGTGGAGGTAAGCAAAGGGGCAGGGAAAGGGGGACACCTTGCAGTTACGGCAACATTAAAAAATTTTAATAAAAATCCTATATATTCCATTGGTCATAAACTGCTTGAAATCAAACTTTGATATCCCCCTCTTTCTCTCTCCCTCTCTCCCTCTCTCCCTTTCTCTCTCTAGGTCGAGTATTAGCTCAGGCGAGTGGCAGTGGGGTTATTCATTTGCTGGATCTTCAATCAGGGCAGATTCACAAATTAGTGGGGCATGAGAATGAAGCTCACACAGTCGTGTTTTCTCATGATGGAGAGAATCTGTTTTCCGGAGGCTCTGACGGCACTGTCCGCATATGGTCCTGACGGTCAGCATATCCCACTGCAGAGGGCATTCCCTTTAAGGTTTGAAAATGCCTCATATAGTCCCAAACCAGTAAATGCTTGGTTAAGTATGCCAGCAGGTAACATTTACAATTTTCTTTAAAACATGCTTTGAACATATTTTTTAATGCTCATACTGTTATCAATAAAAAGCAAAAACAAAACTTTCTGTTCATTTATTTGTGCCTGGGTCTTTTTTTTTCTTCTTCTTCTTCTTCTTATTTTGCTAAGATTTTAGAGACAGAGCATTTTTGCTAGGGGTTTGGAAGAAGCAGCTTTACAATGACGCCTAATGACAGACTAGATGAATTACAGGAGATTGATTTTGAATGTTAGAGAGCAAATTGCAGGAGAACCAGGCTACTTTTTAAAAAATCAGATTCAAGCTGCAGGAAGACCTGGAGTTTAACCACGTAGTGCGAGGAAAGCGTTTCTTCAACCGAAGAGTCAGTGAGAATTGGGAGCACTCCTTATTACAGATTCTTTGACAACGACTACGCCTTATCTATTAATAATAATCAGAGACTGCAGCTGGCTTACATCTAAACGCAAGGCTCTTCACCAACTTTCATCTCTGCAGCCCATCCAAGAATGCATTAAGTGTAACTGCAGTGTGTTTATTTTTTATTGTAATTTCAATGCAAATAAGTATCTGGCACGTCAAGTGCCCTCCCCGCGCCCCGCGCCCCGCGCCCCGCGCCCGCACCAGCGTATAAAGCGCGGCTGCCTGGAGAACCCCCGCCCGGGCCAGGCGGCAGCTCGCGCTCGGACCTGACGGGCGCGGGAGCCAGCGGCGCTGTCCGCGGTGCTGAGGAATCCCGGCTGCC